TGTGGCCAGAACAACAGTTTTCAAATCTTAAAGCTTGTTGGTGGTTCTTGTGGTGTGGCCAGAACAACAGTTTTAAAATCCTAATGTTTGTTGATGGTTCTTGTAGTGTGGCCAGAACAACAGTTTTAAAATCCTAAGTTTGTTGATGGTTCTTGTAGTATGGCCATATGGCCACATTCAACAAATGAACTGTAAGAATCCCACAATCATCTCAAAAGCCAACAACAGTCTGTCAAGTTCACAAGAGAGGACGAAGGTAACTATCAAAGTCTTTTTCTAGATGTATTGGTCATCAGAACTGACAAAGCTCTTAAGACTGGATGTATGAAAAGAAAACTCAAAAATATTTCTTTATTTCGTGTCCAGTTTATTAACCAATTTTCAATGTTTGAAAACGTTATTCAGCTACAACGTAAGGAAATACATTTTATGTCAGTTTATGGAAATATACTAGACTGTTCATAGTTTGAGTTCTGAAATTGCTTTAATTTACTTGAACTGATATTAGTATAGTTAATTTACTGCATTACTTTCAAACTGCAGTATCCATATATATGATTGTTTCCTTTCTCTTATAGTGAATTTGGATGTTTCAAGATGCTTCAGTAAAGTCTACTACAGCTTTCAAATTAATGCCAGTGATGTGACAGAACTGTTATTAATGATATTTTAGTGTCTCAAAAAAAAAAAGCCTGTGTCATAATTTTAAGCATGTTTATATTTCTAATAATGTTGAATGGTAGTGCAACATTATGTTTTGTCATGATATAGTAGTAAATATTTAAATTGAAGAATCATAAAAATCTTTTAAGTTTTCCTACAGTGAAATATTTTAGGAACTGGGTAAATTATCAACATTAGGTTGTACTTGCATTGTAACCAGATGTGTGACCTACATATTAAAGGTCAGTCATTTGATCAGTTTATAACATTTTGCTTAGAGTTGAGACATTCATGCTATAATTCATTTTAGATATTTTATCAAAATGGTAAATTTTGATAGAAATTGAATTAACTGAACAGGAAATAGTTATGCCAGCTAGATATTACATGAGTTTCCAACTTGATTCAACATGAACAAATTAGAATTTAGCTGTGTGTTGTTCAATTTGATCTTATGTTCTAATAACTGTAGACAAATTTTAATAACTTTCACTGGCTGATTGTTTGGAAAAATTTAAACAATTTGAACTTGATTAACAATTTATATCAAAAATTTGACTTTTTGTTTTATAATGTGATTTTGATTGGAGTACCAAACTTCATGTTTACAGAACCACCACTTTGTGTATTAACATATTTGTTATTTAAACACATCTGTTAGAAAATACTGATAGACTTTGGTAGATGCTTTTCTATGTCATATTCATGATAGTAATTTCTAATTAATTTGGCAGTTCAAAATTTCTTTGAATGGCATGTGATTTTAATTTTATCAACATATGTTATTAGGAAATATAAAATTGTCAAATGAAAACTTTTTTTTTCAAACTGTTTCACTGTTAAATAAAAGTTCTGTGCATTTACGAAAACTTGATTTTATAGAAAACTTAAAAATACTTCTGGTGAAAGGAACATTTTGTGTTAAAGAGAATTGGATGTTAATTTTTTCTTTAAACTGTGATTATGGATTTATGCAGTTTCTTTGAAACTAGTCTCCTGTAAAATCACATCTCATAATTTATAATGAGGCAATTGAGATAATGTAAGGATTGATGACATGACAATCTTTTTCTGTGTATGATCTTATTCATACAAAATTGTATTGGGAGGAAAAGAGATCAATTTATTTATATGTCTACCTACATTTTTCATTGTAAGTAAAATCTTTAGATGTATTTTGAACTTTTTACAGTAACTCACAACCAGAAAACTTTAAGTAAATCTTAAATAGAACAGTGACATTAGAAACGAAGGTGCATTTTTACTTCTTTAAAAACCTTGTTTTGGAACAATAAACTAAGGCTGCATTCATAAAAATTAATGATAATCCTTACAGTGTTGGTTTTGGTCTGTGTGAATTTTCTGTAGTATTAACTCTACAGGAAAAGCCATTTCTTTAAAACTTAGTTAGGTCTTAGGAAGTATTGTTGGTTTGTAAAACCAATGATGTACTGCTACTGAGATGGGTGCAGAAGTGGATCAGCTGACTGTGGCATACACTTTGTTGTATAGAAGCCAATGAAATTATCTGATCAGGACCAGTCAACACGTAACTCTAAGACTTCAGGCGGATAGTGCTTTAGTCTGTGCTCGTTCTCTAACTTTATCTTAATACAGCAAAAGAGATTCCTGAGATATTAAGTCACTTCTTTTTCACATGAAATTATCCATTGTTTTGTCAACCTTATATGCTTTGTGGCACAACAAATATTTGTATCCACATTTTAGTTGTCTTCTAGACTTTATCTCCATGGCATCTAATGGTTACTCTCAACATTTTATCAGGTTTTACTCAAGTTATACACCAGGTAGTTGTAGTCCTAAAGACAGAATTGAAAATCAAATGTTGCACAGTTTAACTTCTTTTTTAAGGTAAATGGTTATAAAAACATCAACTTAAACAAAGCAGCCCTAGTCATCATGGCATCTAATGGTTACTCTCAACAATTTATCAGGTTGTACTCAAGTTATACACCAGGTAGTTGTAGTCCTAAAGAAAGAATTGAAAATCACATGTTGCACACTTTAACTTCTTTTTTAAGGTAAATGGTTATAAAAACATCAACTTGAACAAAGCAGCCCTAGTCATCATGAAAGCAAAATAACAGAAATCATAGTATAGTAACATCACAGAAAATGTATGTTTAAATTATGCCAAGTTTATCTCTACTATAGTTTGTATTTTTGCACTTCTCTGTGAATACCATGAAAAGGAGCTTCATAGTTATTCAAAACCTTAAACATTGTTTATATGCTGGATTTAAGTTAATTATAGCTACACTTGCATTTATAATGAAAAGGAATGATCAAATGGAACTACTTTATAGGTTTCTGATTCTGATAATTAATTTTTTAATTTGGGTAAGAATTCTATGAAAGTCATTTATATTATAATTCTGGTTCTTGTGCATTTAAAATGAACATTAATTATAAGCCTAGTATTTGACCATTGAATGTAATAGATAACAAAATGACTTTTTTTTGTACAGATTGTAATATATGAATGAACCAACTGTCAATAAAGGTAGTTAAATTTTTATATTGAAGTGTATGTCAAATTTCAAAAGTGCTAAAGTCAACCAGAAAAATTGCTTATTAAATCTTACTTTGTACAATATTTTCCCCACAACACCTAAACATAACCTTTATAATAATTACTTAATTTTTGAACTCTCATGTCCAGTTCATAAAAACATCTGTGGAGAAAGACTAATTTATAATGATAAATTGTCATTCCCCAGTTGAAAGACCACCCTCAAAAAGTACAGATGGCAATTATTAGTGCTCAACAAGTTTATTTTACAAATACATTTATGCACTTAAATGTAGATAAAAGTGTATATGCTCACCCTAAAAACTGTATTAATGGTTGCACATAAAATAATATTGGTGATAAATATCAAGACATTTATATCAAAGAAAAAGCTACGTAATAATGCTTAAATCTAAATATTTACTTCTATTCACCAAATCTTGTATATTACCAATAACTTTTGATCAAAATAAACTACCTACATAGACAGAACTAAAAATTAAATGAATAATTCGTTCACTAATTCACTCCTATAGTACACGGGCCTGTTGACCCCTTCACACTCACAAAATCTCTCCATCTCTTTCTGCTCTATGCAATCCCAGATTCTTCTTCATTTTTGATACCAACATCAAAGAAGTCCTCTACAACACTATCCAGCCATCTTTTTCTCGATCTTAATGAGTAGTTAATAGAGATAATTTAATATACTGTTCTTCTAGAATTATGCAAAGTCATAAAACATTTCAGACTGAAAGTTTATTTTCTGTTGTTTTAGTGGGTTTTGTTTTTATGCAAGAAAAAAAAGATCTAAGTAAAAATGTTGTGCATTAAATGTAAAAGATTACAGTTAAGTGAGAAATTATTGTTGCTACACTTTTACACAATGTGGTTTTTCATTGTACTAGTCTAGACTTTCTTTATGCAGTCAGAGAATATTCATTATGCAACCAGACTTAATTGTCTCTCTTATTTTGCTTAATAGTTTATTATAAGAATTGGTATTATGAATTACTCATACATTTTAGAATTGGTTACATTTTGTGGAACTATGACATCATTGTCTTTACCCCTCCCCTACTGCCTGAGGTTGACAGACATGTCACCATCTGGTGTCGTGCCATGCAACCAGCGGAGTAACTACTTGGATGGATTGATGAAAATTATGGAAAAATCACCATTGTGCTTTCGATCAAAATTTATGCAATCAGCTGTTCTGTATAGGAATGCATAAATATAAAAAAATTAAGACTTCTGTATTAGAAATGGGTATGTGTTATCCAGAAGAAGTGTTCAAATCATTAGTGAATCTGAAATACATTGAAATACATAACTTTCAAATTTTTATACTATTAACAAATACTATATCCAACCTCAAGAGAATCAAGCTATTGCAGTGCCACACAATATCTGCAACTAAACCTGAGTACAAGAGTTCATGGTTAGCATTCTGTTGCTCTAAAAACATTACATTTGTGGACCATGGTTGCACTGTAAGAGGAACAGTCAAATTTCGTTATTTGGTCAGATAAAAGTAGCTCAAGACTCAATGGTGGATGTTGTTCAGCAGCTGCCTTCTCTTTACACAGAAGTATTAAAACAGTTTTAAAGCCTAGAAACATCTGTAATGCATATTTCAATCAGTAATTACAAAAGTAACTAACATGTGAAAAAGTTTTTTTCTCCATCAGAGCAATTAGGTCCCAACCCAAATTGTTACAAACAATAAAATATCTACTTATCATTTACCTTTTTTGTAATGTGACTTTCTTTTTTTAACTTTTTTTAGGTTTAATTGTACCACAGTGGTCTTTGCCTGACTTCTTGTCGTGAGTATAATTGTGAACTCATAAATTGTTCTCCATCCAGTAGTTCTGTTAAACATCTTGTTGCCCAGTGCACAGAATCAATACAAAGGTAAAATATTGATTTCCAAGTCTCTGCCATCAGAATGTTTAATATTCCTTGAAGAGGGGCTTAGTTTTAGCCTCATTCTGTGTCACATTAGGTTATCAATGAAGTTTAAAAGGTAATGGAATGCCTTCTTTATGGAACCTGATGGATTTTGAACAAAAAAGATACTTATTTACATACAGAAAAACGTTTACTGTGATATTAATGATTTAAGTAGCACTCATGCTGATGTTCTATAAGAAAAAAGAGTGTATAGCATGTTATTACCCACACAAATAACCAAGTTTATAATAATGTAAATAAAATAAAGGTGCCTCTACATAAACGGAGTAAAATTATACCACTGTCGAAAGCGAACACTTGCTAAACTCAAAGAAGATATAATGCATGTGTTTAATTCAGGACTTAGCAAAAACAGCCATGTATTATAACAAAAAAAATATGATTTGTCTAAATAATATTAACTTAAACACTTCTAAACCATATGATAAAGCAAAGGGTTTATAGTGAGAAACACTGAAAAATACAAGAGCAAAGCTTTGATTGTTTGTTGTTAAGCACAAAGCTAGAGATTGGGATATTTCTGCTGAACCCACTGTGGGTATCAAAACCAAATTTGTAGCTTTATAAGCTTCCAAACTTACTGCTGAGTCACTGAGGGACAAGAGCAAGGTAGTGTCTGTGCTTAACGATTCAAATGCGTACACAAAATTAAAATTTACAAAAAATAACTCGAGAATCAAACTAAAGAAATTGTTTCATTCTAACAAAAATGAAGTTAGATGAAGCATTAAGAAGAACCTTATCACTCTAGATGTGATGAATGAACAGTCTCCTAAAAATTCTCATGGAGAATACACCATTATGATTTATTGTATCAAACTGTGGCACCACTTGAGCAAAAATATCATAGATTTTACAAAGGGTCTTACACCAGCGACTGCCTTTTATTCTACCATGGCAGAAAAATATTTTGGATTCCTTAAGCTGTCTTCATGAAACGTTTCCAGATAAACTACCTATATAATCCATATTATGGACTTTTGATGTACCATCAATCTCTACAAATGTCCCTAATGAAGAAGGAATATATGCTATAATGGAAGAGTTGAAAACACACGAGGATAGTATTCATACCTTTGCATCAAACTTAGAAAATGTAAAAATCTTCTCCATTTTCTACTATCACACAATTTTTTCTGCTTTTGGGGCTCTTTTTACTTTAAAAAATCATCTTGCATCTCTTTTGTCATTATTTTCATGAATCCCCTTGAATCTAATACCAGTATTTCATATAAAATATATAGATGAAATATTTTTTGTCTGTACTGGCAGTCAGGAAGATCATAGTTAGATAAGGTTTTTTCAACTAGTTACCTACTGTACTGAGTCATTCACAAAGGATGTTGTGTACCTTTATGTGGGAAAGATTTCTGTAAAGAAGAACATACTGTGTGAAAGTAGACCGATATTTTCTCCTGGAAGGTCAAGTGATACATATAACCTCCTTGATTTTTATATGGGAATGACCAATAGTCATGTGGTTAGTTCATGCAACCTGGGAATGAGGAATATTATTGTTCTGTGTGTATAATGCTGTGATTTTTCAATATGGAAGAGTTCTTCACATAGATCTAGAGAGAGATTTTGTTTTCAAACACTGCAATAAAGGAACCTTCCACAATTTTCATTTGCCAATTCAATTGTTTTGAGTAAAGATTGTTTCACATCATAATCGTTCACTTTTCTCATTTGCTTTATTTTCTTAAACTCAGTTAAAGCCAGAGAATGTTGTTTTATTCTGCAAAACATTTTTTGTCAAACTTTGTTATTTTTTAAATAAATGGTTTAGTTTTCTCGATATTTAAAGGAAAAGACAAATATAATGCACTGGTCAGTTTAAAGTTGGTCTGTATACCAATCTCCCCAATAGTACAGCAGCATGTCTGTGGACTTGCAAAGCTAGAAACCGGGTTTTGTTACCTGTGGTTGGCAGAGCACAGATAGCCCATTGTATAGCTTTGTGCTTAACTATAAATAAATAAACTGTATACCAAACACCAGTGATTAAGGAACTCATAACTGTACAAACTATTTATTGTTTATTGATAGGATGCTGTCTATTTGGATTCAGATCATCCAATGATCAAAAATCATAGCTATGAATGATAATGAGCACCATTTGTGTGCACAAACTAATGATGAAAGATTACAAGTCATCATGCCTTTCCACAGTTAACGTTGATTTTCGAAGACAGAGTTATAGTTCCATAGAAACTGGGAGGACCCTTTTTTAAACCCTGGTGTAGCTGCGCTGTCCTTGTTTGGCATTGTAGTGCATCCCCTTATAGGACTACATGGTGGATGGGGTCATTTGGCACTGAATATTCTCCATTTCCTATGTGATATCCCACATTGTGCCAAGGGGGGAAAAAAGTAAAAAATAGCAATTGGAAAGTGACTACATTTTTGAGACTATTCCACAGTCACCACCCCAGTCTGATCCTGTACCTCGTTCTCTGATTTTGCATTCTTTGTCTGAGTAACCTTTGGGGCTAATATCTCCTTTTTTTGTATTCAGAAATGGCATGCTGGCTCTCCAAAATCAATAAAGAAGTTACATTCTAGGGACATCTTGGTTGAAACATCTATGCCACGACATAGCAAGCTACTCCTGAAGTTGAAGGTCATTGAGGCTATACCTATTATGATTACTCCCCATGCTACTGTGAATTCCACACAAGGAGTTATCTTTGAGAGGAATTTAATGAACATTCTAGAGTCTGAGATCGTCACTAGCTTCTCCAGTCAAGGAGTTTCTGCTGTGCGGTGTTTCTCCACTCAAAAAGATGGAGTATCACACCTAGTCAATGTTCTTATCCTGACGTTTACATTGCCACATCCACCTGCCTCTATCAAGGCAGGTTGTCTTAACTGTAATATATGGCCCATATTCCTAACCCTCTCAGGTATTTCCAGTGTCAGCAGTTTGAACATTATAAGGCATCTTGTGGTTCTTTGATGTGTACTCGTTGTGGTGGCAAAGGCCACAACAGCTATGAGTTTCAAATGGGCCTACAGTGCGTTAATTG